AGGAAAGGAAAGGAAAGGAAAGGAAAGGAAAGGAAAGAAAAAGACAAACTAGAAATAGTACTCATGTGTGATGGCAGTCCAGAAATCGAACCTATACGAACTACGATTACTTCCTTGATGATTAGCCTCCATGGAACATGGATGAGGAGAGGGAGGGATATATAACCATTAAACACAAACCCTTGTTATGCATGTGTCAAGAAAGACCGAATTTTTAAAAGCGCATTTTTTATTTAGAGAGAGGGGTTGGTAATTTGCTTCCTTTTTCAATAGACCACTCAGCGGGCCATCAGTATCAAATAACAAAAAAATAAAAAACGGTTTGATTCATTCTTAGGAAAAAAGACTTACTACTATACTATACTTACAGTGTCGTAAGATGTCGTAGGCCAGTTAAATCTGCACGTTTGACTTCTACGATATTATTGAACCTCAGATCTCTAAAACGTATGTAAAGTATAAACAAACCTTAGACAAACTGCTTTGTCATGATTATCAGGGTTTATGCGAGTTCTTTCAGCGCCGCATGATCAAGTCAAGGTCACATTTATCCGCGCGCATACGTCCGCCACCAAGTCGTCGCGCTAAAACAAATTCAAGTAATAACATTCTCGTGCGCAAATCCTTTTAGAGGTAATTTTGATACCCTTTCAATCAAAGTTCAAGCCATAACTGCTGATATTTCAACAGCATTTTCTAATTAACGTCGTGTCAAGTTGGGGTTCCAGTCCTTACGCGATTCAAGGCTACCACAGGAATTCAGCGCTCGTTAAATTTCCGTGGATGAAAAGCTAAATAAAGACAAGATGTTTCCTGCGAATTAACTACTACCATATGAATTATGTATGTCAGCCAAAGTCTGCTTAACAATTCGACTTATGATTCTCCAGATGCCTTGTCTGTGGTCTGCTGACCTCACGTCACGTCACGTCACGTCACGTCACGTCTCGCGAGCAAACGAGTCACGAATCCTCGTACCAAAAAACCTTGGGCTAAGGAAATTTTTCTCAGTGTCATCCATGCCGGCAGAATACGAACCGGCGTCCTGATAAATGACTATTATTGTCCTAACGCGTCGATAAATACTAGTATTAGGTTCTTTTTGCTATGGGTAACAACCAATATAGAGATCAGTACCGGAGAGGGAAGGCGAATGAGAATAAATAGTCAAGAATAGTGTGGTAAAGCATGAGCTTTTTTAGTGTGCGGTTTCCAAGAGAAATATATATCATTCCTTCCGTCGAGTTTATCGATAGATGTTAAAGAAAAACCTATATATCAAAAAAACTTGGGTTAACTTGCTTGATTTCTGTCTGATGATGTTGGCCTTCGCTTATGAAGCGAAAACAAACTCAGAGTAGGCATTAAACAAATGTAAAATAATAAAAATAAAGGCGAAATAAATATCATAAATCTAAAACTCAAAGAAAGTTTTTAGTATCTTGGCTATGATGCTGGATGAATATACGTCACATTATGAATGTCTAACCAATCTACGCCTTCCAATAACATGCTTGTAATCTAAGTCTTGAATCTTGGGGTTCAAAACTACGGTCTAGAGAAAATAACTTGTAATGCTCTCGGAATTCCTGTCTAAAGTAAACAAAAAAGGATAAACTTTACTTACAATACTTTGGTAGAAGTAGGAACTTCGGGTATTTTAAAGAGTTGTTGATGATTACATCGAACTGTTGGGCCATTATTAGTATTGTAGCATAAACAGCCTTGAGGACAAGCGACAGTGAACTGGATTAAACTCAACAACACCAACACAAACGAGGATACACAACCGAAGCACCGAGTCCCCGACATTTTCAGCGAGCCGAATGCTTTGGATGAATATCGCGAGAGACGAAACACCAAGGCGCAAAAATCCAACGAGGCCGTGTCGGAGTTCGTGCGTCTGGTCGCGGGGATTAGGTTTCAATCTTGAAGGGGGGATCAATTGTCTATCACTTTTTTGACCATCATTAAGTGATAACAGTTAAGTTCATATCCAGAAACGTGTCAAGGATTTCCTGTCGAGAATTTGCTCTTCAAGGCATAGTTCCAAGGATTGTTCGTTCCATAGAGTGTTGGAAACCCGTCCCAAGGAACACCCTTCCGGTTGCCGCGGATAAAATAGAGATGAGTCGAATTTTGGAAGAATAATAGTGAGTTTCTCGATTTAAGAGCGCGATGGAAGTTAAAGGCGTTTATCCGGGAAAGAAGGAAACAGATGTACAGTACGATAAAACAGGATGTTCTTGAAAATAGAACGTCACCCCACAAGCATATAAACGGTACCGCATTAACATTGAATCAAACTCATATAATTTTTTGCTTGAATTTTCAGCAAAAAATAGAGTGAAACAGATGTTTGAAAATAGGTCCCTAAAAACGAACACACATAAAAAGTTGAAAGTTTTCAAGATTACGCCTTTTAGGCGAGTCCAATTTGAGAACGTTCATGAGCATCTATAAATCCCTCATTGTACGAGAACATTGTGCGATTTTTTGGTTATAATAAACTCAACAAAAATTGAGAAATTTAATTGGGACTCGACAGAGTACAATTTGGAATTCAATTGTACTCCTCTTGTCCAATCAGAATCGAGTAATTTTGTTGAATGTATTATAACTGTAAGTATAAATCAGAACGAGTTGCTGTGCGTGCTGTAGAAAGTGGTAGGCCAGGTTTGTACTCTATAGGCAAGTTTGGAGCTCGCGATCAAATCTCTAGATTGAAGTCTAGTAAGCCAATGACTGCAACGAGTAGCAGTGAGTAATGTTTTTATATGTTTTTGTTGCTATGAACTCAGTGACCAATGTACCCACTATGTCCTTTGTGTCAATGATACTTCCTGATGGCATTACCGCAGCTCGAAATAGCTTTATGCTTGTTAGATTGTTTTACTCTTTATTTTGTCAACCCATTTCCTTCCTTTGTAAGAGATGTTTTTTCATTCTTACCCTCTCACTAGCCGCTCAACTTTGTGATCCGTGACATGACTTATAAAAAAAAAAGACCAATGAGAATCAAGAAATGCAGCATGGTTGGGAGTCAGCATAATATCGGCTGCATTGTTTGGAATTTGAATCAAAATGCTTCTCCTGTGGCACTCGAACGGACATGTTAACCGCACAGATGGAATTACTTCAAATAAAGCTTTCTTTTCCGGTGTCGATTTTCTCCACGGTCAAGAGAAAACGAACTACTACCTAGTAGTTCACTTTCTCTTTGTAGGGTTGTATTTTTAGGTTTAAGGTTCACCGATCCAATAATACTGACACCCACTGGTGCAAGATCTTCTAGCTTTAATCAAACTCAAATTGAAAAAAATAGCAGAGTAGCCCGTAAGCCATTGGTCGTTATTAAACTACTCATGCGGCTCAGTTTAACGCGGTAACCGGTAACAGCTTTTGATAAGCTCTCTTTGAAAATACTTTAACAAAAAGACGATCAAAGTATTCATGCAATGGCTAATAAAGTTCATCGCCTTCAATCTTATCAAATCGTGGCAGTTCCTGGCCAAACTAGATTGTTGGTCTAGACATGGTGTTGATGCCTTAAGTTGCGTAACTCAGGGGACGAATTCCAGCGAGAAATATCCTGCGCAGCTTGGCGTTTTGGGGAGAGGGGAAAAGAGGATATACGCTGCGCGCTCCGATAAAACCCTTAAATTTTGAATCAAGACGAAAATATGATACTAAAAAAGCTAGCATTACTTTGGAGAATATTTGATAAACAAGTGGAGTAACAGTTGTTTTTAGTAAACACGTTTCCAAAAAAGGTAACGAGAAGGACAGATTATGTAAAACGCGCTTATGAAAAAAAAAAAAAAAAAAAAAAAAAAAAAAAAAAAAAAAAAAGAAAGAAAGAAAGAAAGAAAGAATATCTATGAAAACAAGGCTAAGTTACATGAACACGTTGAGAATTTTTCGGCAAAAGAAAATTAAATGGCATTTTGTTTGGAAGGCTTTAGTGTAAGGGATTCCGCTTAGCAATGGTGACCGGAGCCAACACTTGAGTCATCAGGAGTGAAATCAACAGGTTACAAATAAAAAAAAAGATTATATGATATCATTTTCTAGTTATTCTATCTTTATTACCTGAAGGAAAACTCCCATTTTTCCCCATCAAAAAGCTGTTTCCATTTATGTGTTCCGATAAAATTTATCATAATAACTAAACGTAAGAAATTTAAAGAAAGATTGAGAACGATAAAATTTGATTCCTTGAAGTGATGTTCTTGTAACCTCTTGCATGAAGCAAAGACACAAAAAACACCAGTTTTCCTTCAATCGCCTTCATCAAATATTCAAAAGCCTCAACCAGCCAATCACGAACCAGATTTATGGTAGTGATGTGAGTTTTTCACGTCGACATGTGACAGTTATAATCCTTTTACGATGAGTGATATCATTTAGAAGATCATTGCCGACATTGTTTTCGTTATTCCTGGTCAACAAAAATAATCGACTTTTTAGATTAGGGTTTCCTTCGCGAGGTAAGTGTTATTTATTATTCTTTTATAACTCATCGAGGTTTTTTAGCCGGTTCAATGATCAGAAACAACGCATTAACGGTTAGATGGATTTTTGATGGGGTTTTGAACAACAGGTTCTGGTAGTAAATCTACGGACTGTAAAAGTCAATGATACTCGAACAGTCAAAACATAAACTCCTGACAAACGACACAACAAAACAGAACCAAATGAAAACAGTTCAGCTCTTTGCGGACAAGCTATTCATACTTTAGTTTGCGCTCAGAAAATTATAGTTATCCAAGATTATCAATGATATATAGATAACAGACGTCAATCATTTATGTTTGAAGGTTTTCCTTTTCGAAAACGCCGTTTTCTACATGTTAATATTTGACTCATTTGCTTTAATTTTAGTATTTTTGTTTTTAAAATTTCTGTTAACAAATCCAAAAATCTTTCCCACGGTATTTTGATTAAAATGACGCCATATTGGATCTCCGACAACGATCATGACGTGAGTCACAATGAGCCAATGCATGCTCGACTTGACACGTGACCATTAAGTTTCAACATTACGACATGGATCAAAATCAGAAGTCCATGAACTTCTGCTAAAATACAACATTTTTGCGAGTAATTATATTTTGGATTTAAATCTAAAAACAAGCTGTAAATATACTCATTTACTGGATAATTTCACAGCAAAATATTGTGAAGAATTGTCGATAGTTTGCGTTTATGGTCCATGCGTTTGAACTGCGATTTATAGGTAGGAAATAAAGGGATTTTGAATATCGATATGGTCCAAAGGATACCATGATGTAATATTGTTTTTTTCCCTTTTCTTTTGGCTTATAATAATATATGATATGACAGGATTACATTTTAACAGAGAGCAAAATTCTAAAATTTTGAAACTTAGTGGAACTAGGTTGTCTAGTTGAAAAGTCATTTACAGAAAAAGCATAGTGATTTAACTTTCAACAGTTTAAAAGTGTTTGCTTTTCTTACAGCAGGGCATTGAAGGACAACCTCATGGCTGTCAAACTATTGGCCTTGTTTTCATTGGTTGCCTTGGTGACGTCCATCCCTACTCCACCATCAAATAAGGCCTCTCCTGTGCCGTCAGAGACTTCGGATGTTTCTCCTACCACTCCACCACGACAGAACAAAACAGGAGATAGCATTCAGGACTCAAAGCCTGGTAGGAGTAAACATACATACTTTACGTTGTTTATTATGGCGTTATTTGACTCCCACTACCAGACACCCTTGCACACTTTCTTTAGTTCAGTTAATTAGCACCAATTGTCTTACTATTCTAAATACGAATTTGAATAAGAAAGAAAGTTGGCCAAGCATTTTGGTAGTTGTAGTAAAATGACGCCATCGTGCAAACGGCTTATTCTGACAAATTATAAAGAATCCCTGGAGTTACCGGCCCTTTGTCCTTCATATTACCACCGCTGATTGGCCTCTGTCAATACAACATTTTACTGGTTTAATTCACCATTTTCCATACATTGGTTTACTGGTCAAAAACAAATCGCTCAAGCGAGGCGCCAAGGTACTTTCAAAGGATTCAAATTTGAACCTTGCAGGGGCGGATCCAGGAATTTGTTCAGGGAGGGGTGCAGCGCACATAGTTAACCCAGGGAGGGGTGCACCCCTTAGAATCAAAGGAAAAAACATTATTTTGTATTGGTTAAATCTTTGAAGTAGGGGCACAAAGTCGAACCAGGGAGGGGTGCGCGCCCCCTGCACCCCTCCCCTGGATCCGCCACTCGACCGAATGCTTTGTGCTTGACAGTTCAACAAATGTATGGAAAATGGTGAATGACCATATTGACCAAATATTGAGCAAACAAGGCTATCAAACGAAGCTAATTCAAGAAAGTCTTTTTTTAAAAGCGTTAAATTTACGGCCACAAAAATAATCCCCTCCGTAAAAATGATCCCCATCGCATAAATGTTCTCATGGTCATCGCAAAACTGATCCCTTGGTAAACGAGGAAAAATAATGCTCTCCGTAAAAATGATCCCCATCGCATAAATGTTCTCGTGGTCATTGCAAAACTGATCCCTTGACAAACGCGGAAAAATAATCCCCTCCGTAAAAATGATCCCCATCGCATAAATGTTCTCATGGTCATTGCAAAGCTGATCCCTTGGCAAACTAAAATTCCTAATTTTAATTTTAGTTGAACAGTTTTTAAAGGATATGGTTAACAAGATGAATAAATATCGGTTAATGCACGCTGCTTCGCCGCTTGAGCTTTCACTCAATCTTACCAACGAGGCTGAACTTTGGGCCGTCAAGTTGGCCAACAAGGACCAGGAAGAATTGAATACCAACTCAAAGTTTGGCCAGGCAATTTTCTCAACGTCGAGCCCGGATAACGTAGTGAACGCAAGTGTAGAATCCTGGTACAACCAAATTGTGTAAGTCAGGTTGATATCGTATTTCACGTAACAAGGGGGTTGTAACGTGTAACAGCAATATATCCGGAATATTCAATTTTTTTCCTGACAAATTTCTTTCCAGCGAATCACGCCCTCTTGCTTCAAAAACTCCAAAAACTAAATAGAAGACAGATATCCCAAATGTTTGATTGTGGGATTTGGTAAATCTCCTCTGAAAGTCAGGAAATTCAGCGAGAAATTTGACATGCGAGAGAAGCGGCCATCTTGAAACCAAACTCTTAATTCCAAATATGGTATCAAAACTCCTACTTTGCATATCTCCCTTCTGATTGGTATGATATTTGAAAAATCTAAATTTGTTAAATCAAAAAATAAAATAAAATAAAAAAATAAAAAAATGAAATATTGACGGCTATTTGTATTTGCTTTTCCAGACATTACAGATTTGATAGGCCAACCAAGAGTCCCAAGACGAGCTACTTCTCCCAGCTGGTGTGGAGGGGAACACAAGAGGTGGGGATCGGAAAAGCGTCGAGCGCCAGCGGCAAGACTTATGTAGTTGCTTATTTTAGTCCACCGGGTAATACCGAGGAAATGATAAAGAATGTTTACCCCGTCACAGGTAAGTTAGCTAAAGTAAGGGTTATAAGCTACGCAAAGGCAAACTATGCTGCATTAGAGCAGTTTTCTGATGGCTGTGAAAAGTTCACGGCACGAACACGGTCGTGACACGGCAAGGGATACGCCAACCCAATCAAAATGCACGAGAATCTACTCTCCATCCAATCAAATGTCCGAAACACGGCGCGGACACGGTCACGCCAATGTCACGGAACTGCCATACCAATCACATTGCGCGAGAAAAAAATCAGAAGATCAAAATTCTAGAAAACATTACAGTCGCGATGAGGCACGCATACGGCACCGACTTTTTCACAGTCATACGAAAACTGCTGTATTGGTCGCCGTGAAGATTACAGCGTGTGTGAATAGATGTGAAGGCGATCAAGCATAATACACGGTCTCTCTTTACTCGAGAACGATTATATTATTTATATTTCTAACTACTACTGCCATGATCGTTTTGGGATTTGTGTTGTGGTCAATTGTATAATATAAGTACATCGATTACTTTGCCGTATCGAGCAGAGGAAATATAAACTGTGGCGAAAATGTAAGGAAAAATTTGCAGAATATCGCTACTAATTGCAGGAAACAAGAAGCTATACCTTTTTGTACCATGACCAAGATTTGCTGAGTATGACACAGATCAATCAAATTCAAAAGTTCAGTTCAAAACACCGAGAAACGAGTATATATTATAGTGTTATACTTAAGGACGTTCTATCTACGTTGTGTAAAGTAGTAACGTAATATTCCAAAAACGATTGCGAAAGTTTTCCATGTCTTTCGTTTTAATGTCAGTTTTTTTGTCTTTAAAGGAAGTGGAGTAGGAAGACTCAGACCTGGTAAGTCTTTTACCGCTATCTCCTGTCACCATGCCATAGAAATGGGAGGGAGGTTCTTATATAGCGCATTTCACAGTCGTCTCAATGCGCTTTACAATTAGAACTAGAATTAGATTTAGAATCAGAACAAACAGATCGTTGAGTACTGTTACAACGATAATTCACAAGTTGAATTTGAAATTTCTTTACCTCAGCCAGTTGCTCTGATGGCTACAAACACTACAACAACAGCTGCTTCAAGCTGTTCCCTGGACCAAGGACGTGGGAAAGTGCTGTCCACAAATGTACGCAGGAGTTTGCTTCACTCGCTTCTGTTGACAGCGAAGCTGAAAATTACTTCATTAAGTCACTTCTGGTGAGTAATTCAATGCCTATACAGTCAGCGTTAATTTTACATTTAATACTCTAGCGTATGACTCTCAGAACATTAGAGCAGTTTCGGAACGCTGTGAAAAGAGCTGAAAAGCTCACACCACAAATACGGACGTGATACGGCAAGGGATACGCCAGACCAATCACATTGCGCAATAGTTTCCTCTCCATCCAATCAAATACCCGAAAAAAGGCATAAACACGGCGAGCACACGGCACTGCCAGACCAATCACATCGCGCGATAAAAAACTCAGCAAATTAAAATTGCATCACGGTCACGGCACGCTTACGGCACGGCGCTTTTCTAAGTCATACGAAAACTGCTCTAAAGAGGATGATACATACCATTTGTTTTTCAACCGGAATTTGCGGTTTTTCAGGGTAGATAGTTAGCACCCCTTAATCTGTGTTTTCTTATTCAAGACATCACACAAAAAGAACTTCACATGGATCGGACTGGGAGATCTTAACAACGATAGTACTTTCACTTGGGTTGACGGAACTTCAAATGTTTTCGTCAAATGGGATTACGATCAGAGCAACGTCCAGGGAAAGAAATGTGTGGTGGTCGGCGAAAGCTTTAGCTGGAAATATATACCATGTGACAAAGGAACAAGCTTCGTCTGCAGGAGAAGGCTCAGAGGTAAACTTGTAGACTCAGCCTGAAAAGTAGATTTTAATCCATGTGTAGGCGTCAATGACAGCACGTAATATCATCATGTAACCAATCACAGAACGCGTTGAGTGCACACAGCCAATGACAGCACGCAATATCATCATGTAACCAATCAGAGAACACGTTGTGTGCACACAGCCAATGACAGCACTCAATATCATCATGTAACCAATCAGAGAACGCGTTGTGTACACACAGCCAATGACAGCACGCAATATCATCATGTAACCAATCAGAGAGTGCGTTGTGTACGCACAGCCAATGACAGCACGGCATGCTTCTCAGATATTTTCTTAGTATAAAACATTTACATAAGTGTGCATATATTGTCTTGTAGATGTCAGCATTTACGAGGTGTTCTTTAAATACCTGAACAAGTTGTGGACTGACAAGCTATTATCACCGGGAGAAGCTCGCTATATATCACTGAAGACGCACTTACAGAATGCGGTAAGACAACTAAGGCTGCTGTATAACCAAAATACAACCGGCCTACATTTTTCAAATCGACCAAATCCACTTTGGCGTGGTGTTTGCCTAATTATGACCACGTGGTAAAAATGAAGAGCATGCAGATTTCAAAGGCTGACAAATGTTGGAAGATATTAAATATTAGAAATTATTATTATAGATCATGCAGATTTACTCAGACGCAGACTGGTTCGATGACGTGGATTTCAAAGGCTTTGCGTAAGTAATTGTATTTGTTGTAATATAGCAATAACAATAGGAAATGATGATGACAATGAATGATGATGGTAGTATGATGATGGCGATGATGATGATGATAATGGGGATGATGATGATGATGGCGATGATGATGATGAAAATGGGGATGATGATGATGATGA